CTGCTGGGACTCTGAGGAGCACAGGGACTGGCCTCCTGCTGGGACTCTGAGGAGCACAGGGACTGGACTCCTGCTGGGACTCTGAGGAGCACAGGGACTGGACTCCTGCTGGGACTCTGAGGAGCACAGGGACTGGCCTCCTGCTGGGACTCTGAGGAGCACAGGGACTGGACTCCTGCTGGGACTCTGAGGAGCACAGGGACTGGACTCCTGCTGGTACTCTGAGGAGCACAGGGACTGGCCTCCTGCTGGGACTCTGAGGAGCACAGGGACTGGACTCCTGCTGGGACTCTGAGGAGCACAGGGACTGGACTCCTGCTGGGACTCTGAGGAGCACAGGGACTGGACTCCTGCTGGGACTCTGAGGAGCACAGGGACTGGACTCCTGTTAGTGCCCAGAGTCAGAACTAAACCTGGGGAGGCTGCTTTTCAGATTCATGCTGCTAAAATCTGGAACAGTCTTCCTGAAGATGTGAGACAGGCCACTCCTCTCTGACAATGTTTAAAACCAGGTTAAAGACAGTTCTGTTTAACTGTGCTACAACTGAGGGATTTTATATTTTATCTATCTTTCTTTTTAATGTTTGGGGGGGGGGGGGGGGGGGATTGTTATTATATATATTATCTATCTCTACACATATCTAAAGAGAGATTTTGAGTTTAGTGGGATTTGTACAGATATTGATGTGTGATATCTCTATCTATCTATCTCTTATCTATCTTATTTATGTTGTGAAGGAGGGGGTGAGTTTTGGGACCAGTAGTAATGGGGAGATGAATGGTTTATTGGGGAGGTATGTGCTCTATGTTCTAGAGAGAAGGTGCGCGTGTGGAGCGGGGAGAGGTTAGATGAAAGTATATATAGAGGGGGGGGGGGGGGTGTGTGAGTTAATGGGGTTGGTTTCGAGTTATGAAGGGGGGTTGGGTTGAGTGGGGAGGGTTATTAATAAAAAAAATATATGGGGGGGGGGGGGGTTGTTATTAAAGAATAGTAAATAATATTATTTAAATAAAAAGTATTTAAAATTTAAAAAAAATAATTAGTGGGGGGGGGGGGGGGGGGGGGGGGGGGGGGGGGGGGGGGGGGGGGGGGGGGGGGGGGGGGGGGGGGGGGGGGGGGGGGGGGGGGGGGGGGGGGGGGGGGGGGGGGGGGGTGGGGGGGGGGGGGGGGGGGGGGGGGGGGGGGGGGGGGGGGGGGGGGGGGGGGGGGGGGGGGGGGGGGGGGGGGGGGGGGGGGGGGGGGGGGGGGGGGGGGGGGGGGGGGGGGGGGGGGGGGGGGGGGGGGGGGGGGGGGGGGGGGGGGGGGGGGGGGGGGGGGGGGGGGGGGGGGGGGGGGGGGGGGGGGGGGGGGGGGGGGGGGGGGGGGGGGGGGGGGGGGGGGGGGGGGGGGGGGGGGGGGGGGGGGGGGGGGGGGGGGGGGGGGGGGGGGGGGGGGGGGGGGGGGGGGGGGGGGGGGGGGGGGGGGGGGGGGGGGGGGGGGGGGGGGGGGGGGGGGGGGGGGGGGGGGGGGGGGGGGGGGGGGGGGGGGGGGGGGGGGGGGGGGGGGGGGGGGGGGGGGGGGGGGGGGGGGGGGGGGGGGGGGGGGGGGGGGGGGGGGGGGGGGGGGGGGGGGGGGGGGGGGGGGGGGGGGGGGGGGGGGGGGGGGGGGGGGGGGGGGGGGGGGGGGGGGGGGGGGGGGGGGGGGGGGGGGGGGGGGGGGGGGGGGGGGGGGGGGGGGGGGGGGGGGGGGGGGGGGGGGGGGGGGGGGGGGGGGGGGGGGGGGGGGGGGGGGGGGGGGGGGGGGGGGGGGGGGGGGGGGGGGGGGGGGGGGGGGGGGGGGGGGGGGGGGGGGGGGGGGGGGGGGGGGGGGGGGGGGGGGGGGGGGGGGGGGGGGGGGGGGGGGGGGGGGGGGGGGGGGGGGGGGGGGGGGGGGGGGGGGGGGGGGGGGGGGGGGGGGGGGGGGGGGGGGGGGGGGGGGGGGGGGGGGGGGGGGGGGGGGGGGGGGGGGGGGGGGGGGGGGGGGGGGGGGGGGGGGGGGGGGGGGGGGGGGGGGGGGGGGGGGGGGGGGGGGGGGGGGGGGGGGGGGGGGGGGGGGGGGGGGGGGGGGGGGGGGGGGGGGGGGGGGGGGGGGGGGGGGGGGGGGGGGGGGGGGGGGGGGGGGGGGGGGGGGGGGGGGGGGGGGGGGGGGGGGGGGGGGGGGGGGGGGGGGGGGGGGGGGGGGGGGGGGGGGGGGGGGGGGGGGGGGGGGGGGGGGGGGGGGGGGGGGGGGGGGGGGGGGGGGGGGGGGGGGGGGGGGGGGGGGGGGGGGGGGGGGGGGGGGGGGGGGGGGGGGGGGGGGGGGGGGGGGGGGGGGGGGGGGGGGGGGGGGGGGGGGGGGGGGGGGGGGGGGGGGGGGGGGGGGGGGGGGGGGGGGGGGGGGGGGGGGGGGGGGGGGGGGGGGGGGGGGGGGGGGGGGGGGGGGGGGGGGGGGGGGGGGGGGGGGGGGGGGGGGGGGGGGGGGGGGGGGGGGGGGGGGGGGGGGGGGGGGGGGGGGGGGGGGGGGGGGGGGGGGGGGGGGGGGGGGGGGGGGGGGGGGGGGGGGGGGGGGGGGGGGGGGGGGGGGGGGGGGGGGGGGGGGGGGGGGGGGGGGGGGGGGGGGGGGGGGGGGGGGGGGGGGGGGGGGGGGGGGGGGGGGGGGGGGGGGGGGGGGGGGGGGGGGGGGGGGGGGGGGGGGGGGGGGGGGGGGGGGGGGGGGGGGGGGGGGGGGGGGGGGGGGGGGGGGGGGGGGGGGGGGGGGGGGGGGGGGGGGGGGGGGGGGGGGGGGGGGGGGGGGGGGGGGGGGGGGGGGGGGGGGGGGGGGGGGGGGGGGGGGGGGGGGGGGGGGGGGGGGGGGGGGGGGGGGGGGGGGGTGGGGGGGGGGGGGGGGGGGGGGGGGGGGGGGGGGTGGGGGGGGGGGGGGGGGGGGGGGGGGGGGGGGGGGGGGGGGGGGGGGGGGGGGGGGTTTTTTAGAATGGGGGGGGGGGGGGGGGGGGGGGGGGGGGGGGGGGGGGGGTGGATGGGTGGGGGGAAAGGGAAAGGGGAATAGTTGGAAAGGATGGTGAAATGGAAAGGGGAAGATGTGGAATGATTGGGAATGGGAAAGGGGGGAGAATGATGGTGGAAATATGGTGGATGGAGAAAGGGGGAGGAAGATGTGGGAAATGATGGTGGGAATGTAAGGGAGAAGAGGTGGAAAATGTGGGGAATGGGAATGGAAAGGGGGAGAAGAGGTGGAAATATGTGGGGATGGAAAAGGGGTGAAGTTGTGGGAAATAGGATGATAGGGGGATGAAGGAAAGGGATGGAAGGTTAAGTTTGGGTAAATGGATGGGAATAGGGAGATAAGGGGGGAGAAGATGTTGTGATAATGATGGTGAGTAATAGGCGAAGATGGGGAGTAAAGATTATGATGGGGAATGGGATGGTATGGAATAGGTGATTATGAGAAGGGGGGAGGTAAGGATGTGGATATTGGTGAATGGGAGAAGGTGAGGAGTATAGTATATGGAAGGGAGGGGGATTAGTGGGGTAGTACACATGACTGCACATAATATACCTGCAAGTTTCGGGTGCGAGGCCAGGGAGAGACTTGTACACAAGCAGAAGCTGTGTTGAAAGCTATCTCTGTCCAAAGGAAGCAAGTGCAGAGACCTGAGGACTGGGACTAATGTGGGTCGTAACTTCGTTTGGTCTCTTGGTCACGTGACTCGAGCTGCTCGACATACAAAATATACAACATAACACAATAACAGCAGACCAACATAATACATATATTGTATAATATAAAACATAATATAATAACATAATACAAGCATATATATCATAGGATATATCACAACCATATATTATAAATTACCTAATTATAATATGCTAAATTAAAGTAGAATGCTTTAAGCCTGGCCTGGATGTGAGACCAGCATCTCGTTGCTTTCTTAAACATAAATCGAAAGCAGAACTTCCACCCAGTAAAGGAGCTGTGCGAAGCAAATGATCTGCCACCACACGTGACCTTATGAATGACATTCTTAAGGGAACCACCTAGGGACGTCTGCGATTTTGGAGTGAGCGCAACGCTCAGCAACACAAGGCCCCTGGTTGATTAACGAACACACTAACAATAAACGTCGTCACAACTTGAGACTAAGAAAAAAGAGAATACAAGCTCTTCTCTATATTGGCAAATTATAATACCATCGTTCAACACCCAAATCCACCGGCACAAGAAAGGCATCATTACGCATACATTTACTATCCATGCGCATACTACTTCTACCATGGGGAACGCACCTCATGGTGAACGGAGAGTGGACACACCACCGGAGGACGGGATTATACAGGCAGTCACAGTCATGCCCCACACACACACTCCATTTTTAGGTACTCCCAACATCGATCTCAAATAGCACCACTCCAAAACGCTAGCTCCCCGTCACTTCCCAGAACGCGAAAAAGCTCGAATTGGCATCCTAGCATATAACCTAGGGGTCATCGGGAAGGGGGCACAAGAACTGGCCAAGCATGAACACACGGCAAAGAATTACAATAAGCTCACGATCCGCGACACAAATTCCCCTACTGAGGGTTGACAAAATCCAAGCGGTGAATGATCAGTTTACTACACCCCGGGCGCATCTCAGCTGCGTAAACAGCCCAAGGAACAAATAGTCATGTACCAACCCCCACTATGTTGACAACCCCGAGAGTCTGCCGGCTAATGCACCTTAACAACAGCATACACCAGAACTCCCCAAGCCCCCTAGCCTTAGCTACGTGCGAGCCTAAACCCCTGCCTGTAAAGATTAAAGCACAGATCGAATATGCTAACCAGAGAGAGACTGTGCCTTGGCTCGGCCAATATCATGACTCAAGATTGCCTGAACAGTGTTGACTGGGTGAATTAATAACTCGACTCAGTATCAAGTACAAATGATCTGTTAGGATGCGGAGATCACGCTGCAGCCTCGCTGGCGAACGGAAGGTCAAGGGATCTAAATTGCGTGAGTCCGTGTCATACAGGTGTAAGGTGTGCGTGTAGGATGCGCTTATCCTGTTTGGGGGGGGGGGGGGGGGGGGGGAGGGGAAAATCGGGGGGGGCGGGCGGGGGGGGGGGGTGGGAAGATATTGGGGGAGGGGGGGGGGGGGGGGGGGGGTGGGGGGGGGGGGGGGGGGGGGGGGTAGATGGGGGGGGTGCGGGGAAGGGGTTGTGGGGGGGGGGGGGGGGGGGGGGGGGGGGGGGGGGGGGGGGGTTTTTTGGGGGGGGGGGGGGGGGGGGGGGGGGGGGGGGGGGGGGGTGTTTGGGGGTTGGGGAGTGAGGGAGGGTGGTGGGGGGAGATTGAGGGGGTAGTGTTTGAGGGGGGGGATGAGGATATGGGTATGGTTGGAATGGAGGGGGTTTGTTGGGGGAAAGTTAGAATGATTGTGTGTTGTGTTATTGGTGAGTAAGAGGGAAAGAAACCCTGCGGCACACCAACCCGAATTTCCACTCCAGTATAAGGCGAGAGTTCGAGGTCGATTTACGTTGACGGAAGTGATACCGATCTGATACATAGGATTAAAAAACCAGCCAAGGGCTGTTCCTCTAAGACCTATAACACATTCTAGCCTCTGCAGTAGAAAGCTGAGGTCAATTGTGTCAAATGTGCAGCAACTAAGGTCCAGTAGGAAACCCGCCCTGACCCATTTCCGCAGTTCTCGCAGCCTCTCGAAGACAGTACCATAGAGCCTTTGCCTATGGCCGATTCCATGCATATGAATGGAGCCTGAATCCTGAATGAAAGACTACAAACATATCATGTTACTGCCGGTGGGCAGCGGATGCTGCTGCCTGCTATACAGTTTGTGTTATCTTCAGGATTTTCGATCTAACAGAGAGGTATAGAGATCGGGGATCTGGTAGATTTGTAAAGTAGTTCTGGGTCCGGAGGGGAATGTTTTCCTTCAGAAGTGGTTTGATTGACAGCGGTTTATCAAAGCATGTGGACATAGCCGACAATTGTATGGATCATTTATTATATTTTACGATAAGGCTCAATTACCAGGACGTATGTCTTTGAAGAGCCATGATCGGGACTAGGTAGTTGCCCTGTCGCGTCTAACATGAGCAAGTTGAGCTTTTGAGGAGTGACGCACAGAGATCTCCTCTGCTTGGCTCACAGCCATGAATTTATTCGAGGCCCCCTGAAGAGTCCTCATGTGAAGCCACGATATGCCGGCTCAAACCTGGACCACCACTACCAGCAGGAGAAACCCTCCCCAGTTTGTCACGGATGGATGTATATTAATCATACGCGACTTGGAGCAAGTCCGACCAACTCGCTCAGTTGAGCTTGGAAATTTTTAGGCACGATTGTGCTAGTGGGCAAGTTTGTGAGTTTATAGCGACGGTGCTAACCAAAAAATCTAAACTGTTTGTTTTTTATTCGCGTTCTATTAAAGTTGAATAAGGTATTGAGTTAAGCAGCCCCGCGAAGGGCCTTCTGTAGTTTCGGAGACATGCTTTTCCCACTTCCGCTGTGGACAGGCTCCGAGTGGGCGTGGGCGATATAGCCTCTCGCAATTTTCTGAACGTCCCGGTTTTAAAAAGTGTGTGAGTTGAACAACTGGTAACCAGGGCGACGAGATGCTAATCCTAATTAGTTTTCCTGTTTTAAAGGCGCGTGGCTGCATTTAATGCAGAAATTAAAGACTCCATAAGGTGTTGCCCAGCGGCGTTTGGTCAATGACTGAGGGACTGCAGCTGCTGGAAACAGGTTCACTCTGCATGCAGTATTCAACCAGCTGTATTAGTTCCTAGGTGAACCGTTGTGATGAGATGTATCATTTAAGGTTCTTTTCAAAATTATGGTTTTTTAATCTTGCGGCCAGGAAGAGTTCCTCCAAAGCGAGATCAAAACGTGATCAAGGAAATGTCACCACAACGAGCTTGGGAACGCTACGGATGTCCCAACATTGAGACATCCAAGCCGTAGGTCAGGAACAAAGGGTCCAAGGTGTGGTTATGAATGTGAGTAGGTTCCTGCGACAATTCTGATAAAAAAAACCGAACACCATGCTAGTACGGCGCTGAAAGAGCTTTGTTTAAGCTGTCAGTGCGGTCGTCCACATGTATATGTGAAGTCTCCAGTTAATAACTATGTATTTCCGCCCATCCAAAACTAGGTTTGAAATGAAGTCAGCAGAGAATCTGGTATAGAACATACTCGCTGTAAGGACCAGGAGGGTCCGGGTATAACACAAATAGAATAGTACTGCTGCTTTTGGTTTGTCCTCCTCCAAGGACCAGGTGGATTGAAAGATGTTAAGTTTTCAAAACGAGGTGAAAAGCGATGTAGGTTTTGGGACTAGAGAAACCAATTGGGTTGTGTGATATAATCGCGAACACCAACCGGGGCCGCGACCTGTAGGTTCTGGCATTCGTGGGAGTCTTAACATGCCTCGGTCGGCGGAGTGCACTCGATGTCACACTAACGAAAGCTCCGTAGGTCCTGTGGAGCCAAGTCTCCGAGAGCGCAAACGATCCCAGCCCCTGTCTATAATAAGTAATGTTTATGAAAGCGCTTTAGACGAGATTGATCGACGTGTCCCTTAAACCACCTTTAAACAACCTAGACTGTTAGAACAATTACGGTCGGACACTTTAATTAAGTAACTGTGACTGTGACCCGCGCAGTCAGATTTCTCTCATATAGTGCATACGGGAGACTTCAGAGCGCCGGACCGACACAAACAGTATTTCACTCTGATCTAGGTACTTAGGCTAAAACTGTACACTAACACACCCACAGCACACCACACACAGCACACACACGACGACAACACCACACACGACAACACACACACACACACACACACAGCACACACACACAGCACAACACACACACACAACACACACACTACAGCACACTGGAGCACAACGTACACACAAACACAAGCACACACACCACCGTTTCAATCTGACTAGGTTACTGAAGGCTATGTAACAGAGCACCGGGGACCACAGGCAAAACCACACGGACACAAGGTGCACACAACAGTTTCAATCTGACTAGCTTCTGAGCTAGTAACTTGAAACGGATGGGGGCTCAGAGAGTTTTGGCACGAGCAGCTCTGCACACCGGCCTCAGTTCTGCACCACGTCATTGAGCCGAGCAGGGAAACAGTTAGAGCCCAGGGCCAAAATTTCTTGAGCCAAAAGGGATGTACCCGCCAAACGTTGGGTGGGAATATCAATCCGGGCGGGGATGAGCGCCGGGCTTTCCCCAAAAGGCACTCCAATTGTCAACGATGAACCAACCACGCGCACCTTGAGGGCACCAGCCAGACAGCCAGCGGATTTGAAAGCCCGCGTGTCTGCTGAATGCATCTGCACTCTAGTGCTAGTAGGGTCCCCAGAGAAGATGAACAGTGTCGGCCCTAGAGCTACCCAGCTTTCACACAGCGGCGACTTGCAGCTTTCCAACACGCGTCGGACTTTTACCCCCTCCGCCGAAGATCGTCATTTTACAACCGCGCGTGAATAACAATTTGTCGACGACACACGCTGCTTATGATGGCGTATCATGAGCCATCAGACCCGTCCGGCCAAATACAAGCACCATTGACTTGGCCCACGGGAAGCACCGAAGCATGCCTGGGGATCCCTGTCAAACACCTCTAACAATAGAGGACCAATTACACGCATTCAGCAGACCTACCATCGGCACTCGCTACTCAGGCGAGCTCTCTCAAGCAGCTCTCTCAGCAGCTCTCTCATCCAGCTCTCCTCCAGTCAGCTTCTCAGCAACGTCTCTCAGCTAGCTCTCTCAGCGGCATCTCTCAGCAGCTCACTCAGCAGGCTCTCTTCAGCAGCATCTCTCAAACAGCCTCTCTTCACGGACAGCTCTCTCACAGCTCCTCATTGTCAGCGGCTCTCCGTCAGCAGCCTCTCATCAGCGGCTCTCTCTAGAGGACGGCTCTAGGTCAGCAAGCATCTCTATCAGCAGCTCTCTCAAGCGGTCTCTCCTTTCAGCAGCCTCTGGGATTCTCCTAGTCTGCGTCTCCTCAGCGGCTCAAGCTAGCTCGCTCAGCATGCTCTCGTCAGCAGCTCGCTCTACCATGCTCTCTCTAGCAGCTCACTCTGCAGCTCGTCTTTCAGCGAGCTCTCCAAGCGGCTCTCTTCAGGCAGCTCCTCGCTCAAGCACCTCGTTCAGCAGCACTCTCAGCGAGCTCTGCACTTCGAGATCGCTCGCAATCAGCAAGACGCGCCTCAGCGTCTCTCTCAGCAGCTCATCTCAGCAGCTCCTCTGCAAGTGACAGCTCTTTCTTTCACCGAGCACGACGTCTCTCAGCGCTCTCTCTGGCGCTACTCTACTACTAGCGGCTCTCTCAAAGCGACCCATCGGCTCTCTCAGACGCTCCTCTCAGCGGCTCTCGTCAGCAACGCTCGCTCGATCTGTCGGGCTCTACTCAAGCCTGGCTCTCTCAGAAGTGGGGCTTCTTCCCGACCAGGAGCAGTCCCAGAGCGCTTGTAAATCTAACAGAGGCAGGCCCAATAGGGAAAACTACCAACAACACGCAGCCCTTTAGGCCCTGCTCACCGAACCAGTCACAAAGCCCAATCACAATCGGTCTTGTCCAGGACTGGGCGGAAGGACCAGGGCTTGGTGCGGGTACTAGGACTACGCTAGTTTCTCCTCGTGCTCTTCCCAAAAGTCGCTGCGCGCAACGCTAGTCATGAGGGATGTCGGCCTGGCTGTAGCTAAAATGCTAGCGGCTAAGCCTCGAGAACTCCCAGGCTGACGGAGACACGCAGCTGCTAAAGACTCACTCACACCTGGATTCCATAGCTACGACTTCACTAAGCACGTTCCACACGTATCACTACCCCAGAGAAGGATCCAGTGGTTATGACTCGAGGGCCTATAGGGCAACATCGGAGCAGTAAAGGACTTGAGGGATGAGACAGCAGCCACGCCATAATTGGTATCTGCGAGTAGCGGTTTAGCTAGCTAGGCTTAGCTATCAAGCCTAAGGACTTGGCTTACAGCTTACGTACGGATCCGGGGCGCCCACACATGACCGACTCGAGACCAGACCAAACAACCGCTACCTACACTCTAAGAACTTCAGCTGCAGTGACAGCTAGACTTCGGAGTGCTTACAACAGTTAAGCTTTGGTGTACCCAAATACGTGGTTTTGGTAAAGGTTGGGTATTGTTAGGCTAACAGAGAGCAGAGTGACTAGCAGTCAGGAACACTGCTCACCCGGATACAGAAGTCACGATCACCGTTGGTATTGATGAAAACAGTCAATCATAACAGGTCAGTGACATAAATATAATTAGTACAGCTAATTTAGCCTAGGCTAAATGCATACGGTTTGTGCGTCCTTTTCTTTGACCGATCGCCCTTTAACAAATCCTTATGATTACACACTTTTTTTCTGTTATAAAACTACAACTACACACACTATCATTTTACGCACGACTAAGCCAACTTCGGTTCGTCCGCCCATGGGAAGGGGGGATTGTTTACTCTGAATCATCTGATCTACCAGAGAGTTTATGAGTGAGATTTACGTCTACCTGGGTATACAGCGCGGGGAGAATCGTTGTGTGCGGTTGATAAACGTAAGTAAGATACCGTTTTTAATTTATAATAAGTGCTAAGTCCTATTATCACATGCAGATCTGGAGGGTCTCAAGCCGGTTTACAATTTTAATCTTTGTGGCAGTAAGTCTCTCACGGTCCACCACACAGAGATGGGCAGCAGGGCCAGTACAAGGACTGCCGCTTTCGCCAGAACTATATGTACATATTTGTGTAGTGGGTGAGGAGGAGAACGAAAGTACCCGGAGAGAAACCTACAGCAGAACACAGAGGTAACACAGTGCAAGCTCCACTGACATCAGAAAAGGCCTGGATCGAGCTGGGATTAGAACCCAGGGACCTTCTTGCTGAGACAGGCAGAAGTTGCGTATCCACTACAGCCATACCGCAGTGCAAACCACCGTTTTGTGTGATCTTGCGCCGTTAGTGGCTGGTGCAACACTGAGTACGACCAAAGGTGATGGTAGACCTTGATTTTTTATCCCGTGTGTGGGGTCGCTCAGTTTGGAAATCGGACACCAAATAAGTTTTAAAATCGTCCGAATCTGTGTGAAGCGCGCTTTAATTAAAAATATTTCCGTTTTTTTATCCACGGTGGGGGAATACATTCCGCACATGCCAATGAGACCTGGGTGCAGGAAACTGAGCCGCTGGCCGTTTACTCACGCAATCTGAAGCCATCTAATTGCCTGGCTACAACTCATGTCCATATGATAACCCCATTCATAACTACTATAAACAACTCAGTACACTCACTTTCGGTACGGACTGTCTATACTCATATCCCCTCAATTACGTATCTTAGTTTCAAGAACTTCGCTCAGTCTACTAACTCTTCTAACTCAGAATACTTTATATGATCTTGACAAACTCCTCGCCACACTAAAGCCCTTTCTCTTTGCCTGTTTTGGACCATCAGACGTACCCCATTCAGCTGCAAACTCCTCACACCATATCTGACTTTATAGTGCAATTCCGGATCTTTTTGCAACTTCTAATAATTAAACAATATCTATGAAATAAATTTCTAAGTAGTACAATTAAATCTAACTACAATTAAATCAATCGTCGCAATTTGAGCATAATTAATAATTAACACCGAAATATTATACTTGGCCCAAAAAAAATTAAAAGACGGCGATGCTAACAAATTGCTGGTTCTACCCTGTTCCTATACAATCCTCTCACTACCAGTGGTTCTGCAAGCTCACCAACTACAGCGACAGATAGCGCTCCTTGCGGAGTGGGCCCTTTGTGACTACAGTATTGGCAGCTTCTAGCAACAAAGTGCTCTTTAACTCGTCTAAAGAATACGAAAACCGTCTCTGCATTTGAGACAAGCGTGAGTTGTGCACTACTTCAACTGCTGCGTCAGTCATATGTATTTCGACCCGGGACTTAGTGTAAGCCTGATAAAGCCATGCAGAGCGGGACCTCTAGACACTTCCATCATCCCGTACCTCAGTCATTCCTATCATACTCTGGTTAACATCTGACATAAAAATACCCAAAATGGCCCGATGTAGTGTAGAACATAGCATCTAAAAACCTGTAAATGCGGTAGAGAAAACTAATGCAAAATAATTTGTTGCTTTCTGGTTTGAGTACATTATATAGCCTATATATAGTTAGCAGTCGTCACTAGTAATACCTACTGTGCAAAGCACGAGAAGGCAGTCATACATACATGATAAAATGGAGTCCATTCAGTAAAACTAGAATGAAGGCAAACTACTTCAATGAACAAAAACACGCAACAATCAACACTATCATTGTCCCGTCTAACATCACCTCAATCACAAAAGGAGAGCTACAAAAATCACGTCCGTAAGCACCATCACACATTACTGTCTCACACACATCCAAACTCTCAGGTAGATATCAGACTGTAACTAATATTGATCCTTGTTTTTCTCATTGGAGCTTCATCGATCTATCTAACATGATTTGCGCGGCGATACAAGCAGCTAGCGAGCCCATGGCCAAGTAAGTACAAAGTAATAGTGTTACGCGGTTGACTGTGAGCTACGGTAGCACTGCTAACACTCCGCGTTGATCGGGCATTTCAACAGGCCATCGCAGTGTGGAGCCACGGCTACACCAGCGCTAACCCCAGAGGTCAGTAACTCCCACAATGATAGAGTTTTCTCAATGAGGAGCATTTGTGAGCATAGCATATCCAGAATATATTTACTTTACAGATCCTGTGCCATGGAATCGGCAAACTAATGCTGTTGCTCACTGGCAATTGCATTTGCCCTCCCCCGAGGATCAAAAGTTCTTTCATGAACGGGGTTACTCAGGTGCAAAGCTACTGAGATATGCACAACTGTATTTATACACTTTATGACCATAAACGCTGGATTGATCTAAGTGACACTGAACCACATAGAAACCCCACCTTCGTCATCTAATCAGTACTTTTTCTGATGCATACATACAATATATATCTACCACTGCTCCATTCGAACGTAACACATTAGGACATCGATATTTAGGACCTGTGGACTAACTCAAGCTAACAGACAATCTTAGGCAAACACACATACAGGTAACTGTCTATGACTCAGACAACATTTTTCCCCCCAACCCCCCTGCAAAGTTCAAGGCTAAACCTAGCGTCATTATTACCATACGCTTCATATATCTCGCGCGAGTTCGCGGCAAACGAGACAAATCCAGATATTACGACCACCTTGAGGAAAGATCATGAAAGGTTTGCCTATAAGTTACAGATCATGCTTGAGAGAAACCAAATAACAAAACAAAAACGAGAAGATAGTGTGCCAGACATTGCAACTTCCACGCACCTTTTAGCGTCTGTCCAATTCCATGTTCTAAGGGGCAGGACTCTCAAAGTATGACTTGCGACGCAGAGGCTCTGAGACACAATGAGGATCAGAGTTAAAACAGGGGCCACTCTAACAATAGGAGCGGCGAAGATTTCTCGCTAACCGACTGTAATTTTAGCTCCAACACCTCCACAAAGCGTTAATCAAGTCGCCTGCATGTACGTCATCCCATGTTGTCCCTTTTCAAAACATAGAAAGAACTTTAGCGCACAACAGCGGAACAAGCACAGTTATTCTGGGCAAATCAAACGAGACGTGTAAGCTGACGGAACAGGCGCCGACCGAAGCAGCCCGCGATTTAGATACTATTTTTCTTGATAACTCAAATCATCCAGCTCTTTCCAGTCATGAGACCATTCCTAGTTAACTTAGAGCTATACATGCAATACATGCCCTGAGATTGAAGGGGGGTCCAGGGGGGCGTCAACACCAGTATTAAGTGCGCACGCCTGCTCATCTCGTAATCTGACTATCACACTGGACACCACTAGCACCGGACCTAAAAGAATGTGTCCCAAATAGTCCAAATGGAGAGAATAAGACTTTCCAAAATTATCGAGAGGCGCGATCCTCTTCGCTGGATCAGACCGAAATTGGGTATCTCTACGCAAGTAGATACTGACACCATTTTATGTTCCCTGTAGAACACATATCCGTTGGGGGGGGGGGTGCGGGGGGGGGGGGGTCCGGGGGGGGGGGGGGGGGGGCGATACGGAATGAGTAGGGGGGGGGTACAATGGGACGGATATCAATCCTTCGTTATATCAGGTTGAGTGTTGGGCCCTCCGCCACAAGCCACTTTCATAAATGGAGAACATTTGGGTAAAACACCAGGCGGATATCTAGGGACCACTTGCTAAGGGTATATGGTGATGGGGGGGGGGGGGGGGAGACTGGTAGAGGTTTTGAGTGGGTTTTGATAGTTTTTGGGTGAGGGGTGTGGTGGTTGGTTGGGGGGGGGGGGGGGGGGGTGTGGTAGGTGGGGGGGTGGGGGTGGGGGGGGGTGGGGTGGTGTTTTGGGGGGTTGGGTGGTTGGGGGGGGTGGGGGGGGTGGGGGGGGGGGGGGTTTGGGTGGGGGGGGGGGGGGGGGGGGGGGGTGGGGGGGGGGGGGGGGGGGGGGTTTGTGTGGGGGGTGGATTGGTTTTGGATGGTGGGGAATGGTTTGAATGGGTGTGTGTGGGGTGGTGGGGGGATGGATTATGTTTATATAAAGGATCAGATTGATTATTTTTTTGTAAAAGAAAATACTCAACTTTAGAACTGTAAAAAAAAAACACTCGGCTTGAGTCTCCTGCATGGCCTACACATGTTTAGTCCCATAATGACTGGCCGAGCTCAGCCCTCTGAGTCGTCCCCCGGCGGTCCCGCGTGTCCTCCTGCTGGACTATTAGCTGAGGCACATGGCCTGGCCACCTGCAGTGACATGGAGTCTGCCTGGAGTCACATGGCCTGGCCTCTTCGCTGGGGCGCACACTGCGTGAGCCCACGGGACACTCAGCTCCACCTGCATTACCCAAGCGAACAGCACTACGACTCTAGACGCAAGCCCCAGACGCAGACCTAGCCACCCCCCACCTACCAGACCCGCCTCCGAAAACAAAAAGCCAAACGACCAACACTGAGATCGGGTAGGAGGGGGAGGGGGGGGAGTGGGGGTGGGGGGGGGGGGGGGGGGGGGGGGGGGGGGGGGGGGGTGGGGGGGTGGGGGGGGGGGGGGGGGGGGGGGGGGGGGGGGGGGAGGGGCGTAATAACCTAGATAAAGCTATCAAATTTCGCGCAGGTGATCAATAGTGGAAAGATGGAATAAATATAGAGGCCCTATAGTGTGCGTAATAATGGGTAGGGCGCAGCATTGACTTCGCAGTACACCTCAGGGGCCATCATTACTGACTACTATTTGGAAGCACTAGACCGTCTCTCTTCGCATGTCCACAAGATGTCATGCACTAGAAAAATAGGGTTAGGCAGCGTCAGATTCAGCGAATCTCATACCTAGCTGCATCCTTAACAAATCTTTATTGAAAAAGTCTATTGCTGAAACGTAGTGCCCACCGCAAGGCGTCTACACTCAGCGGCTAGTCGATCCATACAGGATGACAAGAGTCGACATTCGCTATTAAATTCTCAGCCATTTGGCCTACACCCAGAAAGGATTTACATGATGCACTATACCATACTGATACATTCAAGCTGTAGCGATGGGATTTCTAATAACCTGGTGAGGAGTATGTTGGTGAATGACAGGTGTTCCAGGGCAGTATCTGATGAATGATAATAATTGCTTTATAGTCGATAGTCCAGTCTGATGACCAGAACATTCTCTCAAATCTAAAGAACAATCTGAATTGATATGAACCGCTCGTCTCACTCTTTAATCTATTCACAACACAGTTCCTACAAATTTTTATCTTCTACATACAACGACTACAGTCCATATAGCGCAGAGTCCCCATAAATACAGCAACACTTTAATGTCAAAAACATGCCTGAGGTAAATTATCTCCTCCACAAACTAAGGAAAGTACAATTAACAGTAAACTCTAAGAATCCTCCACAACCCTATCAGTATAAAAGAGTTAAAAGGAACTGCCCCCCACCATCATTACGTCATGCGAGCGTGGTAACGAGTCCGATACCGATAATCATAGCCAGCATCAGGAAACTAACCCATCATCACGGATCAGTTGATGCATACTCGCTCTAGTCATAAAGACCCGTCAGAGCTGGCAGATCTCTTAACCTAGATTGAGCAAGACAGTTTTTCTAGGTGGTAGCGCGAAGTAAGATAAGCTTAGTAACGAACAACTCTGTTAAATCTATATAAACCAATATCGGCCACATTACTCACAAGCTGCATCACAGAAGCGCCAAAACAGCCGCTCTTCAAATTACGGCTCAATTTTATGGGGGTGGCAATTTGGGCCTCGCGCCCCCCCTACAAACACACTCCCCAGCAGGAGAGGACGCGGTCGCAGTACCACATGCGAGAAGACGCATAGCATACGACAACTAAAGGGACACTACTTCATCTCTCTTAGTCGGTAGGAAAGAAAAACTCCAACCAGGAGGACCTCACGAGCCAGCACAAACACAAAAATACAGCACGTCGCTTACGGATCGAAGCTACATGCACAACATCCACAATCAGTAAGAACCCCCGTTCCCACAATGACCCTTTATTCTAACCCATCGGACCATCCCTCTCATTGCCTGCAGCAACCAAGTAGTGATACAAATACAAGTCCTAATACTGAGGCTTGTCTCACAAACACACAACACTAAACGGCACTAAGACAGGTCGCTAGACAAAAGGCCCAAACAACAATATACCACACTTTTTAATCACTCGAACCACGCATATTTTAATGTTTCTCCTACACATAACCGAATCTCCATCCACACACCAAACCACCACAACCTTCAATCTGCTCTCTCATCTAGCAGTTTGCTCAAGAACACACAAACTGCGCGCTTATACTATCATTTAAGACACAAGCTTCCCTATCGACGACTGTCACCCTCCCTAGGTATATTTTATGTCAAGCACGTGACCTATGATTCGCAAAATTATGATTAACACGCATCCGAAATCGAGCATTCAGTCAGCAACCATAACAAGCGTCTTTCCGAAATGGTTAATCATAAAATTCATATACCGGTCACAATTCTGCAACATCACGAAGACTCTCTATATCTTTTATCACACACACCAGTCATAAGAATAGCAACCAAGAAGTCTGACTTCTCACTTCATACTTTCGTCATCATCACTCAGACATCAGGCACTCAGCTGGTCTCAGTCAGTCTTCCATGTCAGTGCGCCTTCTGTACTCGTGGAGTTTTTCTTTGACTCGGTCCTGTAGTGTCACCTGTCGCTGCTCTCCGCTCTGGGTGTCCCCTTGACCAGCGACCAGAGGGTTGCCAGGTTGATAGCAGCCGAATCTCGTCACGGTTCGGGGTGGTCACGGACTTCACAACATTGACCGGTAACCCCTGAGATGCCATGTCCCTGGTTGCTTCTGCTGCGTCTTGGTAGAGGCGAGTTCCATCACTATAGAAGACGCGCATCTTCGCTGGATAGGGAGTCTGGAACTAATGCGCTTTTCTTTCAGAACTCTTTTAGCTTCACCATATTCATTACGTTTTTTAAGCACCTCAGTTGGAAAGTTGTGGTCTAAAGAAACGCACATTGTCACAGAACACCTCCTTCTTCTGCCATGCTCGCCTAACGACTTCTTCTTTCGTGCTGTAGCTTCCAAACTTCACCACGATAGATCATGGCTTAGCCTGCGAGCTGCTATTTGATTTAGCAGTCAAGGGTCTGTGTGCTCTTTCGATTCCGAGTGACCGGCCTTCTGGAAAGTCAAGTGCCTTTTTCAATAAGTCGTCTAAGAATAACAGCAAAAGCAGTTGATAAAATAAGTTGGAAGTTTATTTACAGTACACTAACATTTTTCAATTTTGGAAATAATATTTTAAGATGGGTGCAAACACTATACAACCAACCAACTAGTAAAATAGTTAATAATGGGTATTTATCAGACAGTTTCATTTTATACAGAGGTGTACGACAACTAAATAACAGATAAATCAAACTAACAATGTATGCAGATGATGCTACCTTCTTTTTACAACCTGAGGAACAATCACTAAACGAACTGATAAAAGAATTACAATTATTTGCAAATATGTCTGGCCTAAAACCGAACTTTGGAAAGCAATTGTGTAATTTGTGCAATTATGAGATTAGGAAACATTTCAGGTTCAAATTTTGAGATCAAATGTTCAGTACCAGGGAAATGGACTAATAGCGATAAAAGATTCTAAGAATTCATATTTGTAGTAAAACTGAAGAACCCATAAGGCTTAACTTTGATAAAAGATTGAAAAAGGTTGATAGTCTGTTACTGCCATGGAGGGGAACATGGGAAAAGTAACATTAATAAATTGTCTTGCGATCCCTCAGATGGTATATTTATTGCCAACACTTCCCTCACCGGACAGATCATTCTTTAAATGTTTTGAACATTTTTTTTTTTACATTTATATGGAATAATAAGCCAGACAAAATTAAAAGACAATATATGTACAACTCGCCTGAAAATGGTGGATTAAACTTAAAAAATCCAGAAATCATGAATGAATCTCTGAAAGCCTCCTGGATTCATAAATTGTATCACAAACCTAATTGGATATCTAGTCAAATGCTAACTAAAGCATACCCAATTTTTCAGAGCAAATTATTTCCATTTTTCCAGATTAAAGCCAATCATATTAACCAAATAATGAATGTTGAACTGAGAAATATCTCCACATTCTTTAAAGATGCATTCAAGGCATGGCTGAGCTTTCAATATCATCCTCCAGACGGTTTTCAGGAGATTCAAAATCAATTGCTTTGGATGAATTCTAATGTTCTAATCGAAGGGCGACCTTTTCTATGGGAATCATGTTTGAATAATGGAGTTATGTTTATCAATGATCTAATGGACACATCCGGAAACTTTTTGTCTTATTCTAATTTTTTTTACAAACTATGGATATTGTTTGGACCCATACAAGTACAATCAGCTGCTGTCAGCAATCCCATGGAAATGGAAAAGAACACTGAAAGCCACGAGTGAGATGCAACAGATAGATAGATAGATTTTTATTTATTATAGTGTCTTGCATACAAGGATGCCCCGCCCACATGGGCTTATAAGACACCATTTATGCAAATACAGAGACACAGGCCAACATCCGGCACATACACCGAATCATACAACAAAATCATAAACAACATCGAACACAAATGCTCTCATTTAAATAGATGAGACTGCCGCTTCTTCCAAGCTTTACTTAAAAATGAAGACACTTTAAACACTTGATTTTCAAATAAAAATTTAATCTTGTCATAATCACAGCCCCAAAACAAATCAGGATCCAGAGAGAACGTTTCATAAAACACCACATTTCTAAATTCATCATAAAAAGGACAATATAACAAAAAATGCACTAGAAATCCCTGTTTCTAGCGCTAATGGAAGAATTCCGGTACGAAACTGAGCCATCAAAGATCTCTGATTCCTGGGCAAATTTGCAGAGCCAAGTCGTTGATAAAAAGTGAAAACAGGTTTGGAGACAGACTGTCCCCTTGTTTTACACCAGAGGGTATCGGGAACCAGTCAGTCTGGAGCTCATTTAATTGAACGCATCCGATACAGTTTGTATACAGTGATTTTAGTGCTTTATAAAATCTCCCATCAACCCCAGCCTGAAGAAGTTTCAAATACAGTAGATCTCTGTTTACCCAATCAAAAGCTTTTTTAAAGTCTACAAAACATAGAAATGTGGATTTGTTTTCAGCCAATCGGGTTCTGACAATAGTTGAAACAGCAAAAATGTGGTCAATACATGCTCTGTGTTTTCTAAATCCATTTTGTTCATCCACTAACAACTCGGTATCTTCAATAAAATCAGTCAGTCTAGTATTTAACAAACTGGAATACATTTTATAGACTGTACTTAACAAACTTATCCCTCGATAATTAAGTGGCACTCTAGGATCATCTTTAGATGCTT